GAACAAATTTTGAAGACTGTGATTATTCTGATCATTGAGGCGCTGCTAAAACCCTGAAATTTTCTCAAATTTAGACTTTTTTGCAATACAAATCTTGGGTTTTTGGTGTTTTCAAAAGAATCTTAGCAAAGCTCAATTTTTTACACGGTTCAAAAAACTCCTAAGTCAGATCCCGGCTCTTCAAAAATCCTCCAAAGTTCCAAAGCCCAACCCCCCGTGCGTTGCCTAAAATGTCGTCTCGAATTTCCGTTCCGCTCCTCAGGACGATCTCTGGAAAACCTCAATGGTCCGCTTCCCGGGGCAGGGCTTCTCCCATATTCCGGGATCTCTGAGCATTTGTGCTCTATTTTTGGGAAAAGTTCTTCTGGACCCCCCTTGCTCCAAGCAAGGCTCGATCTTTGAAAAAGGGTCTAGGCTCTCTCTCCTCTCTCTCTCTCTCTCTCTCTCCCCTCTCTCTGTCTCACGCTCTCTCACTCTCGTTCTCTCTCTGTCTCTGCCCTCTCTTGCTCCACCACCTCCTCCTCCCCCCGGCCCGTCCACTTTGTGGCCCGATTTTTGCTCTCGCGGCGGCCGCCCCGAGACGACGTGCATCCTCGGGTAGCCATGTTTTCGTTTTCCGAGCCCGTCCTCCGGAACAGTTGCCCTTCACCCCCGGTCCGCCCCGGAAATTCGCCCTTTTTGTTGCTGATTGGACGGCTCGGAGGAGACCTGCCCGGATGTTACAATTTGCTGTTTTTGAGCCCCGGAGGATGGGTTGAGGGCGATTTCCTCACTGGACCTGAAGCTTGGGCTGCAATGTGACGGGCCGAGAATAGCCGCCCCGGCTTGGCCAGTCGCGTTCGATAAAAACTGAAACGGATGGGCGCTGGCTCATATCCTGTGGAGATGCTTCGCGGGATGGTTGGGTATTTTTGGGTTGGGTGCGAAAAGTTGCCAATCGGATTTTCTCTACGATTTATGCTTGTCCTTCTCCTCCTCCTTGAGCTTGCGCATGAGCATGAGCCTAAGAATCGTCTTCTTTTTACGTTTTCGATTTTTCGTGTCCTCTTACTCAAATTATCGATTTTCATGCTCATTTTTCCAGATTACAAAGATTTCTCTACATGCCCCACACCGTCCAACGCATAGTATGCACACGGAATTGATGCTGCAGCTTGAAAATATGGTGAGTTGGGCATAAATCGCGATACCTTGATTTTTCGGGCCAAAAATTCTCGATCTTACCGACCCCCTAGGCTCGCTCCGATAGCGGAATTCCCGCTTCTTTTTACTCGCTCATTCCCCCTGTCTCCCTCTCTCTCTCTCTCTCCAGCCGTGACGTGACCCCCGCCTGGAGGAAGTTTCCTCTATTTGGCCTTCTCACCGTAACCCCCGAGACAGCCTTCACAAGCGCCTCGCTGTTTGTGAGCCTGGATCTCAGCTTTCACACGCGCTCCCCCGCGCCGGGAGCAACGTTGAGAAACGCGCGCACGGAAAAGCAAACGTTCCGGTTTCCTGGCGGGGGAGGGGGGTTGGATGGATGATGAGGCCAAATACACGGAGGGTGGGGTCGGGAGGCGCGTTGAAGCCCAGGGGGGGCTGATGACAGGCTGGTTGGCCGGATGGTGTGTTTGTAGGTGCTTGATCGCGAAGTGGGTGTGTGTGTGTGTGTGTGTGAGCGCTCTCGCACTCGGTAGATTGGTTCGCTGGGAATTGCGGGATTTTGGGGAAAGGGCTGGAATTTTGGAGTTGATCAGGTGACTATAGAGGGTCGAGATCTAGCGTTATCAATTTCAGCAAAAAAAAAGAAATATTTCAGAGCTTCAAAGCCTTGCCATCTGCATCTAATTAGTATTTAAAAATCTATAAATTCCGTTTAAAAATTAGGATCTTCTGACAATAGTCGTCGGTTTAAAGGGACCGGCAACCCAAAAAATTCGCCGGTTTTTGACAAATTTCATAGTAACTAGGATAGCTTTTGGATCTTTTTAGGTGATAAGCGGATGACCGCCTCTTTCTTTGTCTATAAACATCTACTCCCCATTTGAACTGCTCGAAAACCTCCAAAAAACGCCCCAGCGTGACCCTTGCCCCGCTCCAGGCGCCTAGGGTGCTCCGTGTCTAGTTGAGTACCCCAAAAAAGTAGAGACTGTTATTTATCTGCCTCCTCTCTCTCTCTCTCTCTCTCTCTCTCTCTCTCTCTCTCTCTTTTCAAAAAACCTTTCCCACAATTGCCGGCTCCCTGTAGAAAAGGGGGGCACTAGATAGTGTGCAGCACCATCGCTGTGGGCTCCGGCTCTCCGCGCACGCTCCGCAAACACCTCTCCCCACCTGGGCGTACAGTTATTTGCCCCGGCGCATTGTGTTTGGCCCTCCCCAACTCGGCTTCTCGGGGTCCTCCCGATTCAGGGAATCTCTCGCTCTCTTTCTCGGATTCTCTCGATTCTCCCGCTCTCTTCGCTTCACCCTGCGGGCTTGTCAGCCGATGCACGAGACTCGCCCCTTCTCGCGCGCCGCCCGGGTCCCGTTCCAGACACGAAGACCTCCCGGCTGAATTTTACGAAATATTGATTGATTTCATGCTAGAATTTGCTGTCTTCTAGATGATACCTTACTTAACGTATTTCGACACGATTGCTAAACTGTTCATCTACTAGAAAAGGCCGTGGAAAAGTGCTTCGAGCAATTTTTGAGCGCTTTTTAGTCGCGAGGCTGGATTTGGCAATATGCCAAGGTTGAGAAAAAGATGTGGATTTCGATAGGGCCGTAGCCCTTAGGGCATTAAGTCATTTTTCACGATTTTGAGCTGCAGCTTAACCGGGAATGAGTTTGGCACCCCGCCAACTTTTCCTTTCCGCGTCTCAGGTGCAAATCCCGCAGCAATTATTTTTTCTACGTTTCAAAAAAAGCATATATTCTTATTTTCGAAGAGCTTTCAAGAAGCCGTCACCCCCAATTTCGCAACGCGCCTAGAAACGCGCGCACACGTCATCCCGTAAACGGGCGATTTTTTGGACTTGGGCCCTCCCAACAATCTCTGATTTGATGCTGAAACCGTACATGAGTCCGGAATCAAAAATTATTCATTATTTTCAGTCGCCGAAACTTGCCGCCCCCGCACCGGCACCGGCCCCATTCACGTTCGGCAGCGCCGCCAGCCCGCTCGACGCCAGCGCGCTCAACTCCTTGCTGCCAGGTGAGAGAGGTTTTGCGTTTGGGCGTTGGCTTAGGCTTACCTATCGCTTCGAAAATCTACCAAAACGGTAGGCGAAAGCGAACGGCCATTACCTCGCTCAAGACTTCTTTTCAGGCCTCGGCGCGCGCTCAGCTTTCCAAGTCGTCTGCGGCCAAGCCAACCCAGCCAGCCTCTTCGACGTGGGCAGCCCGCCAGCTTCGATTTCTACCGCTCCATCACCTTTGGCTCCACTATTGCTCTCACAATCTATCGGAAGCCCGCAGTCACTACCGCCGACTCCGGTGAGTTCAGAGATCTTTTATTATATTAGTTCACCACCAGGATTCTGATCTTAATCACACCTGCCTGATTCAGGTCATCCCCAACTCCCAATTCCCTGCCGTCACCAGCGCGGCCGCCTTCGTGAACGCCGTAAGTATTAAATATTGTTTTTTCGCCGTCCGAAAATGTCAACGAAAGCACCTGCGGCAGTAGATCTTGGGCCCTAAAACTCCTGGCCAACAATCTTGGCCTGGAGTCCGGCCGGGCCTGTCTGGGACTTACAATCAGAACCCCACGTGGGTAGTCGAAGATCAGGGATTGGCTTTTGAGCTTTAACCAAAAATAAAATTGGTGTTTCAGAATGCATTAATTTGGTTTCATTATTTTGTTAAGGTGAACGCGCTCACGTCCGCCGCGTCCTCGCCGGCGCCCCTGCTGCTGAACCAGCTGATGTGTCTGCCGGGGTTGTTGAACGGAGTGCAGAATATGCCCGCCCCGTTCAAGCCGATCCCGAACACCGACAACCGGTGAGTTGTGGGGATTGGTAGTGTGATAGGCTAGGAAGAAAACCTCGAGGGTTCGGATCCGCAGCCCAAAAACGGTTAAAAAAATCGATTTTCGGATTCTTAGACTGTATAGCCGACGGGTAGTGTGGTAGAAGACTAAGAAACCATTGTTAGTTCGGACCACAAAGCAAACACTCTGTATTTTTTTGCTTTTTAAATATTTTATTTTTCAATAGCCCAAAATCCATCCAAACTACAACGCTAGTTGCCTAAATCTAGCCCCAAAATACCTTAAAAATGCATGCCCTGCTCCCCAAAAATTGATCCCCAGCAGCTCGTGGTCCGTTCAAAAATTCCGGCATCATACCCGGGACGCCTCATGAAGGGGCAACACGCCGGCCACGAAGACGTGCCAATTGCCGAACATTTTTGGGCCCGGGCCCAGATGGGCAAAGTTCTCTTTCCGAGGACACACAGGGGGGCCCAGGGGCCCAAAACAAACAAGTAGATTATCCGGGGTGCTGCTCCTTTTTGGGCAGAGGTGTGTAATGTAATCCGTGGCGCTCAGATATCTGATACCCCCGCTCCCGGGGGGTCGATTTCTTCCGGTTTTCGGCCGGCGAAAAGTTCCGCGATAATCCCGATGTTTACGCCGTGCAGAAAATGTTCCAAATTCCGCTACGCTACACCCCTGATCATTGGAATCTAAGGGTGGGGAAGCCAGAGTACCGTTGCGGCTTGAAAATGGTGAGATGCCAGGTGGATGTTGGGTTCTAAAAATCATTTTCACCTTCCGAATGGGGGTGTGACGCATCTACCGTAATCCCGGGGGTGATGATCACCCTGGTGGTCACAGTACGGGGTACAAAAAGTTTTCAGGGCGTTTTGGATACCGTAAAATTGAACTTAAAAGGCCTGGGAAAGCAAGATCCTCTATAGATTTTTGGAAATCCAAGAGTTCTTAGGATTTCGATATAAAGCCTGATTTATGCAAATTATGCCAATTTTTCAGGGTTGATCTGGTCGGTTGGAGAGTGCGAGAACCGGTCGACTGGACGATGGACGACGTCGTCGGGTGGATGCTGGAGACGAGCAAGCGGCTCGGCGTCCCGTGCGAGGACATCAACATGAGCAAGGTCAGCGAGCAGTACAGTACTTTGCGACCCCATCATCCTCTTACCGTACACCCCCCCCCCAAAATTCCCAATAATTTGATCTCTATCCATTGTTTTCCCGAAAATTTAAACCCCGCCCGGATTGCCTAGTCCATCCATATCAGCCAAATTATCTCTGGAGGCCCGGTAGCGCTCTCTTGTTGCTCGGTTGGTCCTTGTCGTAAATAGTTTCGGCGCGTCCAACCGATCAGAGCAGCCAGCCAGCCAGCCAGTCAGCCCCCCTGTCTGCCCTGTTTGTTATTGAAAAGTGTACGGCGGGTGGGGGAACATTTCCCCGTCATCAAAAACCTTTTGCTGATTCCACCCCAGGTTGTTTGCACCGCTTTTCGAGCTGTCCTGCCAGTCAGGATAGTCAGTTGGGGCCTGTGCCCGGTCTGGCTTGTCAAGTACACATATTTTCGCTAAATGTTTTTGACCTTTTTGGGGCGATGATCCTTATAAGAGTTTGTGACTTTTGATAAACCAGTCTTTTTCGTTGGTTCCTTGGATGTTTTCCTCTTCTTTAACCGTTTTTAGTTTCTAAAAATCAGATGAAAATCGATCGGACGGTTTAGGCTTAGGCTTACGCTTAGGCTTCCGATTTAGACTTGGGCTTAGGCTTTTTCGAGTTCATAATTCATAAAAATTCCTCGCTTTTGACGTTTTCCCTTTCCGTTTCCGGTCCAATTTGCCCATTTGCTAGGCCCGAAAGCTTTTTCTAGCCTGCTTCTTTTGGCATGGAGCGTCTATACAATTATTCTCACCTCAAAAGACCCTTATAATCCTAATCCCAATTTCCACAACATCACCAGCCTCCGCTGTTATCTTCCGCCCCAGGCTGTTTCCGGCTCGTCTCCCCCGAAAATGGGGAACCCCCACTAATTTCCCCCAAATCCCGCGTATAGAGGTGGCGCGCGTAGCTCCATCACATCGCAAGTTCGTTACGACTTTGCAAAGGGCACCACCTGATCCGGGTAATTTCCTGCTTTTCCTTGCGTTCATAGTTCACCCGGGGAACTTCCTGGAGAGATAGAGCCCTGGGCAAAACCTGATCCCCCCAATCACTTCCTACTTTCCTTAACTAGCTGCAGCGCACGCACCCCGGAACTTTGGCTTTAAATGGGGCTAGAGCTCGCATTTCCTGGGAGAGACACGAGAACGGGGGCTCGTTTTAAGGGGCACATGATGTGCTCGGCGGCGGCCTGGTTTCTGGTGCCCCACTCCGGTTTCGCAGTTCTGTTCCACCCCGGTTTTTCCCTTTTGTTCTTTTGCGCCTCTCCTCTCTCTCTTTCTCTGACTTACTCTCGGACTCCCGGAAGGGCTCACCACTCGCAAATCTCTTACTATCCCCCGGGCCGTTTCCCTAGTAGAGGTTTAATCCGGGATCCCACATGATTCAGGTATGGAATTTGGCGTGGTTTTGATTTCTAAAGGCTTTCCTGGCTACCCCCGCCTCCCCTTAATGCCTATTTACTGTAAACCACTTATAAATTTCCTAAATTTCAGTTCGCCACCCTGACCGGCTCGCAGCTCCTGAAAATGAACGAGAACGACTTCACCGAGTGCGACCCCAACTACGGCAAGCTGTTCTACCGCGAGATGGCCCGACTTTTGAACGTCACCATCCCAGAGGACAATATCCTTGACGACGTCCTCAGGAAGTACAAAGACTTCGAAGAGACCAAGCCCAGCCCGATGGACACGACGATGCAACTTCAGCAGCAGTTGCAGCGACAACATGAGTGAGTTTTTGGCTTATTTTGAAAGGGTTTGGATGCAATTGTAAATGATTACGTATATAATTTCTTGTTCTTCAGAATGAACTCCCTGTTCGCCGCCCAGCAACAACTCACCCAGACCCTGGCCAACAACATCCGGCAACAGCTGACGAACAACTTGTGCGCGGCGCTGAACCCAACTGGGTTGAACCTGAACAACTTGGCGTCGTCGCCGTTGTTGGTCAACACGTTGCAACGAAGGAATTCGATTTCTGGGGACTATTTGCCGTGCTTCCAGCAAGGGCCCTCGACAAGTGTTGGATATGATTCTGGTGAGCTTTACGAGTCTGCTCGGTCTAGAGTTGGATCTGAACTTTGGCGATGACGTCGGCCAATTTCTGTGACAAATTTTACCGTATTTTTTAGAAACCGAAACCAAAAATGGCCTGAACAAGATGCGCCAAACCCTGGACGGCAAGATCCGGAAGCGATCCCCAGCACGCCAAGGGCAACAAGTTGTGGGAGTTCATCCGGGACGCCCTCAAGGACCCGGCCACCTGCCCCTCGGTAGTTCGGTGGGTATTTATTGGATACGGTAGTTTGGTCGCTAGACAAAAATGACGTGCTAGTTCCTTAATTAGCTATCTTGGCGGCTTTGAAACACAGCCATCCGGGCAGCTGTTTTTTGATCACCAGGGAACTCCCACCTCCCCATGTGCCACTAGCATTATTCAGCGCTTAACACATTTTGGAAAGGGAGGGGTCTGGCCGTCTCTCTCTCTCTCTCTCTCGCTCTCTCTTCAATAGAGCTCTGGCCCTCCGAAATGAGCAAAAACCCTATTAGCCGCCCCGACGGGAAGGACGAGGCCCTTCACAAGCCCGTGGATTTCCGGGAAATTGCCGGAAATTGGGGACCTCACCCCGGATTCGGCTTCGGCTCAGGCCAATTTTCAGGCCACCAAAAACCTGAGTGCTACTAAAAAAACTTCAATGTTCCAAAGCGTAGATCCGAGCTTGATGTCTGAGTTTCGCTTGGAGACCTGCAAAGCCAAATTGGGGGGATGATTTTAGGAAAAAAACATTGACCTCCCAGGGGGATTAAGGTCTTGATTTCGGGGATCGGTTAGTCGATCAGATGTAACACATTTTTCAAAAAAAATCGGATGTTTTTGCGTGTTTTTGAGGCGGTTTTGGGTGCGCAAGTGATCGGCTAAACATTGGAAAACACTCGAGATTGGCGACATTTTAAAAAGACAGCTCAAAACTCGAATTTGGTAATTTTTACACCTTGAAGCCATGGAAAAGTTCGATGCTTTTTAGCATTTCCTTATAAAATCCAAAATTTCATAAGCCACGGCCAGAAACCAATGACGCTCCTCGGTGCAAAAAAATGCACTTCCGCTCAACATTTTTCTTATCACCCCGGGGCGCAGAATTTCCGGGGCAAGCACATTTCCGGGCAGCAGCGGGCGACTAATTTTTATTACACAGCACCTCACATCCGGGTGGAACACGGGGAGGGCCAGCTTTCCAGGCTAAAAACGGCCTCCCCCAGCCGTTGTCAGGTCCGAAACGATGGCCCGTAAACATGAATAGGGCCCCGGAATCCGAGGGGGAGGAGGAAACGGCTTTTTCGGAAGGGCCCTGGAGGCTACTACACGGATTTTCCTCCTCCCCTCTGGGATCTCTGCTCGGTGGAGTGCTGTGGAAGGGGAATGAAATGAGGAAATGGGGTAGCTTGGGGGAGCCGACCGACGATCAGACTCCCCTACTCCGTGCTCCTTGTTGCTTGGGGAGGCTAAAAAGTCGGGGATAGAATTACCGCCTTGGGGAGAGTCATATTGGATGTGACGGGGAGCCGCTGGAAAGCTGGAAGTCAGGAATCAGGAGAAAAAAGTGTCGCAAAAATAAAAACGGGAATTTTCCGGTCAAAAATCCGAAATTTCATAAGTAAACGATTACGGCATTAAAATGCTCTCTATACTACGCAAAACTCTTCTTTACCCCATCCATTTTCAGATGGGAAGACCCGAACGAGGGCGTCTTCCGAATCGTCGAATCCGAAAAACTCGCCCGACTCTGGGGCGAACGGAAAAACAACACCAAGATGACGTACGAGAAACTGTCGAGAGCCATGAGGTAAGTGGCCTTCCACGGCCCCTTAAATTCTACTATAATTTCCATCTAACAACCTCTGCTTGAGCATCTACTATCCGAACCCTTGAACTCCTTCAAAACCTCCTGAAACCCAGAATTCACACCCAAAACAAAAATTTACCGGTGCATGTGGAGGGCCGTGAATTTCAGAACGTACTACGACAAGCAAATCCTGGTGCCCGTGCCCAAGACGGGGCTCTACCCGAAGAAGCTCGTCTACAAGTTCGGCCCGGGAGCACAGGGATGGTGCAAGTCGACGGCGGTGATGGCCTGAACGTCTTCGACTTCTCCGCCCTGATCATCTACCAACTGGAACCCTCGGTATGGGCTAACATGTCAAAAGTTAACGAGCAAAAACCGTAAAAATGGATTTATTTCTAAGCATGTTGCTATCTGATTGCTATCGGTTGATGGGGGTTTAAAAAATTAAAGTATCCAAAATTCATTAAAAAATACTTTTTGCCTTCACCACCCCTTTAAAACCAATTTTCCGGCCGACTGCAAATTCCGGGGGTCTCTAGAAACTCAAAGATCACCCTTCTCCGAGGTATCCGAAGAATGCAACTACTTTTCCAAACGCCCACCCCGGCACCCGACTTCCGCCATTTTCCCCCCATCCTACGGCCAAGCCCTAGGCATAACTCGCCGCTTCGCCAAAAAAAATGTCTCAAAGATCGGCGGGGCGGAAACTTTCGTAGAGTTTTCCAGGCGAGGGGGAAGCGGGAAGGGATTGTGTTTCATGAGCGTTGCTAGGAGCTTAATGTAGGGGCAAAATGGGCGGTTTTATGAGTTTTTCTAGGGGAAATGACTAGCTTAAGCCGGAGTATAAGCTAAGGTCTACAAAACGTAAAAAAAAATTGTATAAATCCTTAATTTCCAGATACTACTACAACACGAAAATCCTACTTCCGGTCTCCGGCCGACGACTAGTCTACAAATTCGGCCCAAACGCCCGCGGCTGGAACCACGACAGCCCAGGCGGCAGCTGGTCCGGCCCTTCTGGAGACGTCTCCGATGAAGACGAGCCCGAAATTGACGATTTTCCGCCAATTACCCATGCTAGCCTGCCCTTGTACTTTCCGAGTCAGGAGGCGTTCCATCCGCTTCTAGCCCAGTCGTTGGCCCAGGCCAGGAATATGCAATGAGGGGTTCTAAGGCGACTGTAAGCTAAAAAGGAAACCAGGCCTAAGCCTAAGCAGTAGAAATTCGATTTTTGACAAGCTTACAGTGTCTTTAGTTCCATCAAAGCGATTATGTTGTAGTTTGGAGCGTATTCGACCCGCTACCGTACCCAGTTCCGCCCCAGTACAGTGCCCCTACTAGTTTAGTATCTGCTAGACTTACTGTTCCCCTTAAAACTGTTGCATTCCCCCCAGAAAATCCTCCGCCTATTTTTCCGATTCTCCACCGCCCGGCCATTATTTTTCTGTGTCTGCGAATTTACAGGGTTTCCCGCACCATGCAAACGATTCTATGATTTCCTCGCTTTTCCGGCTGTATTTGTCATTTTGTGGTTTTTTTGTACCATTTTTGAAACCCGTGTGCAGCGCCCCGACGTGATTGCAATTCCCCTTCCTCCCTAATCAATGCTAGTCAGCCCCCCAATCTTTATTTGTGTGTACAAAAAAAGTTATATTTGTCATTTTTGCAAAATTCCGTCCTTCCCCAGAACCTCCACTCAGATCAAAATTACTGTATATTTTCTGCGTACTCTTTCAGCGGCCCGCCCTATGGTGACAGATCTCGAAAATTTGCCTCCCTCAAATTTTAATTGTTTTTGAGACGATTTTTACGACCGTTTTCTCACCCCCACTCGGTGCAAAAGAAGCTTGTGCTAATTACCTAATTACCCGATTTTTACCGGATTTTTATACGTTTTCTAAAAGTTTCCCCCGTCCCCCATTTTGAACGATTCGGGTCGATTTCTACGATTTTCTCGGTTGCCCTTTCAATATATGTTTTTTGTGTGTAAAAAGGAGTCCGTCGTAGTGCGGCAGCTACGAGATCAACCAATTGTTCGCCGTTGATTATTGTGTGTACAAGTGAATGATAATAAAAAATGAGAAATATACCTTTTCTTGGATGAAAATGCACAAAACCAGGAAACCGCACAATGAGTAAAAAGCGCAGAATTTGCTACGGGATTTTTTGTTCTTATTTGTAGTTTGTAGCAAAATAGAAATGATACCACAGATGAAAAAAATCAATCGTTTTGCCTTCAGCGCTCAGAACGAATCTATAAAAACAGAGAAAACGAGAGAAAACTCAAATAAATAGCAATTTTCGTGTACCCTGTTAGCTTAAAATTCTGTAGTTTGTAACCAGATTCAAAAACAAATTTTAATGCAAAAACCCATCCCAGCTTGCCAGTATTTGCACAAACGCCAGCTTCCGGGTCAAGGCCGGCCCTTTCGGAAAGCTGTAAGAGCCCTCTCCGCCCCTCGTCCCCAGCGCCCGTTTAGCTCAGTGGCAGAGCGTCTGTCTCGTAAACAGAAGGTCCACGGTTCAATCCCGTGAGTGGGCAATTCTTTTTGTGTTTTTTTGGGGTGAAGGTTCGGGACATTATACAAAGCATTTTACCATATCGAAACGGCGAAATTTTGTGTTTGCCAATGGCAAAATCACAACATAGCTTCGACGGTCAGGCTTTCGGCCAGTAAAGCAACATTTTCTCTCCAAGTTCATAAATTGTTTTTTGACCGGATGAATAAAGCATGCTTCCCAAAAAAACTAGATTTTTTTTACAAAAAACCAAGCTATGTAAGTAAATAGAGTTTCGTTCCATTTCAGCAAAAGATCTTTTTTGCAGGAATAAATTTTAGCCGTCAAAAATTGAGTGCCATTGCCCCCAGGCGGGATTGAACCACCGACCTTTGGTTTACAAGACCAACGCTCTACCACTGAGCTATAAGGGCAGCTGGAAGAGGGGAAGGGAAAAGGGCTTTTGTATGAACAGCCGACATCCACACACTAATCGGAGGCTAATGAATCAATCTGGGTGGGAAGGGGGAAGAGGCCCTCTCCTCCCCGCTTCTACACCGCCCGTTTAGCTCAGTGGCAGAGCGTCTGTCTCGTAAACAGAAGGTCCACGGTTCAATCCCGTGAGTGGGCAATCCTTTTTGGTTTTTGGGCCAAAATTCGGAACGTTATACGAAGCATTTGCCAAGCAGAAACGGTATAATTGTAGTCTTTTTTGGCAATGGCAAAAGCAGTTTTAGACACCGAATGAATTTTCTCTAGTTTCACCCTAAACCTCGGCATCCTAACGTCCAGAAGAAGGTACAACGCCAGTAGAACTGTAGTTAGGGGCCGCTCGTAATGCCATCAGCAGCATCGAAATTCATGAATTTTATAGGAGAACCCAATGTTTGCGCGTAACCTTCAATAACTGGTGTATGCTCAGCCATCATCGGGGGGAAGACCCGGAAAATAACAAAGGTTAATTTATGCAAAATCGCCACAGCGAGCACTTCATACATCGCGCGTGGCTGGCTATATAAAAGTAAGACAAATTGAGAGAGAGTAGTACAGTTAAACTTGACTGGGACGCTCTACTTCTGGCTAAATTCGAAAATGCTGAAAATCATTGCTGCATTGCTGGCTTGGTGGTGGCCTCGGTCGCTTTGTAAGTTCTGTTCGATTTTAAAGTAGTGCGACTGTCTATCTGTCTGTCTCTAACGTCACCTTTTATCGACAAAACTGAATTAAACACTTGTCAAAAGATCTCTTCCGTAGATCTGGAAACGTTACCAAGCTTCCATTAGGAGGTTTTCTCCAAAAGGCAAAAAGAATTGCCCACTCACGGGATTGAACCGTGGACCTTCTGTTTACGAGACAGACGCTCTGCCACTGAGCTAAACGGGCGATGTGGTGGGGATGATGAGAGGGCCTCTTCCCCCTTCCCACCCATATTGATTCATTAGCCTCCGATTAGTGAGTGGATGTCGGCTGTTCATACAAAAGCCCTTTCCCCTTCCCCTCTTCCAGCTGCCCTTATAGCTCAGTGGTAGAGCGTTGGTCTTGTAAACCAAAGGTCGGTGGTTCAATCCCGCCTGGGGGCAATGGCAAACTATTTTTAACAACTTAAATTTAATCATGTCACGGGTGGTTTTGCTGAAATAGATCAAAAACGGTTTGTTGACTAGGCTTAATGTCTTTTGTGGCAGAATCTGTTTTTTTTGGAAGGCTGTTTTCACACTTTATTTCATCCCATTCAAAAATCAATTTATGAACTTGGAGAAAAAAGTTTCTTTACTGGCCGAAAGCCTGGCCGTTGAAGCCCTGTTGCTGGCCCTGCAGACCCTGCGGTCCCTGTCCTCCGAACTGTCCGTTCTGCTGGCCGTTCTGGTTTCCGGAAGGAGCGGTGAAGCCACCTAAAAAAAACAGAATTATATATCGTTTCTTTCTCTCCATTTCTCTCTCTCTCTCACCTGGTCCACCGAACTGTCCGTTGCCGTTCTGCTGGCCTTGCTGACCCTGCTGTCCCTGATGGCCTCCAAACTGTCCATTTTGCTGTCCGTTTTGGTTGCCGAACGGAGCCGGGGAGCCTGGAAAAGCTGGTGATGATATTGGTCTTTGCGTGTTCATCGGCAAGCTTGCTAAGAATTGGAGCTGACCCACCTTGTCCCCGAATTGTCCATTACCATTCTGCTGGCCTTGCTGACCTTGCCGGCCCTGACCTCCGAACTGTCCGCTCTGGCCGTTCTGTCCGTTTTGCTGACCTCCGAACGGTCCGTTTTGTCCGTTCATCGAGCGCGGGGTGGTGCTGAACATGATGATTAACCCAAAAAGCGTTGTGTTGGCGAAACGGATAGCCACTTGCTGTTAAAAATCCTTACAAAGCCGCGACGACGGCAAGCAGTCCACAAGCGATAACGGCGGTCTTCATCATGCTTATTAAAGGGCGGGGTGAAGCGAGAGCTGGTTGAGGGCTGTCTGGCTCAAGAACCCGGGGCCCAGGTTTTATAGAGCCCTCAAAAGCAGTAGCTGATGTGTGCCTGGATGTGTCCGCCCGGGTCCTTTGCATATATTGTAGCAGCTACCCACACACGGCGCGTCTCGATGAGTCAGTCTGGCAAAATATACCGGTTGATTTTGTGTTTGGTTGATGGGGAAAAAGTTTGGATCCACATCAAGTAACGGTTTGGTTAGATGGATATATATTTCAATTTATTGCTGGAAGACGGTATGCGGTACGGTTTTTAAGGGACTCAACGAGTGACGAGCTTATGGGTGGAGATAGCATCGGATATGGTGAAAACACGATGAGGCCTTGGCATAAATTCGATCGGAATGACTGGATACTGAGTCGAGCAAAACGTGAAATTGCTGAAGATACGGTAGGTTTTGCAACAAGGGTTATATCCGCTTTGTCTGAATACCACGCGTTAACCCGACGGCAAGTCAGCCAATGGTTGGCAATATTTTCACTTGAATCTTTTTCTCATCACGATTTGAGCCACTTTAGATCAGCGACGAGTCGACGGGTTCTGGTGAAAGCACCGAAAAGCCGCTGGCCACTTTTGATCGCACCAATCCATGGATGGAGGGCCGGGCAAAACGAGAGATTGGAGATGATAGCGTAAGTTTTAGAGCAAAAGCTATCTCGTATTTTCCTTAATTCCTAAATATCTTCGCTCACACTGTCTCTCTCTCTCTCTCTCTCTCTCTCTCTTTCTTCGCTGCAACTATAGACTAGCTAGATGCAACAACTTGGTATCCTTAGACAAGCGACGAGCCGACGGAACCGGCCGAAAACGAAAGGGCCACCAGAACACCATGGTTTAAATTTGACAGCAAGGACTGGACCATTCGTGGAAAACGAGCAATTGCGGAATATACCGTGAGTTTCGCCGCGTGGATATATTGTATTCATTCATGAGAAACTAAAAAAGGTTTGCCGGTTCCTTTAAGGGATGATTCCTTCCAAAAATTCAGACAATTTTTATCCTTAATTTTACGCTTTAAGCACGTTTTCCAGGCCGATTGCGGCAGCGACACTGACGACCAAGTGAACATCGACAGCCGTGGTATCTTTGACTTCCTAAGAGGTAAGTTCTCAAAAATCAAACGCATCATCACGAATTAGATTTCTTTGGCAGGAAATACCATTACCGTGATCAGTTCACGACGGCAAAACCCGACACAACTGAGACGGCAACGATTTCAGAAGACACGACAACCACTGACGGTGAACTTTCTGAGGGAACAGAAAGCACCTCAGGACCCACTTCCGGCGGATGCCTGGAAGTGGTGACCACTGATGAAACGGAAGAAGAAACAGAGGAGACTCAAGAACCTTCAGAAGATGATGTAGAAGCTTCTGGATCTGAGGAAGTGGAAACGACGACGGAAGCAGAGACCACTGACAAGGGAAGGTTGTTTGGGTCAGGTGTCAAATCTTTCTGAAAATTGGCCAGTGGATAGGAAATTGAAAACGGAACAAGGTGCGCTAAGTCGTTTTCTGCACAATACCCCTAATTAAAAAGTTATAAGCATTTTAAGTTTGTGGTCTGAAAAATGAGTTCTGCGCAGGCTTTTGCACCAATACCGCACCGTTTCCACATTTTCTTCATGCGTGATTTCTTGACCCTCTCTCGTCTCCGCTCCCCACGTCTGTTCTAGCGCAATCGGTAGTGCGGTTGACTCACAATCTTGTGAAAAATTTTTGGCAAAAGTTCGAGACTACAACTTTTCTATCTTTTTGCTTTTTGCTTTTTGCTCTTGCAAATTAGGGTTAGTTGGCGTAAAATCCAAAAAGCAAAAAGTTCGACGCAGCAAAGACTTGAACTCGATTACAAAAATTTAAAAAGTTTTGCACTCTACGGCACTACCTACTGCGCCAAACAGCTTGCCAGTCCGGGCGACGCAAGAGCTTGAAAAGGGGGCAGGCCACAATGAGGACCAGATCAAAATTGTGGGGTAGTTTCGTGCTTTTTTACGTAACTTCAAAGACCTATAACTTTTTAATTTGGGGTATTGTGCAAAAAATGAGATTAAGAAACTCCACTTTATTTTTGATTTTCTATCCACTGGCAAAGTTTCAAGTCGATTTGACACCTGACCCAAACAACCTTCCCTTGTGAGGAGACAGACGGTTAGAAGGTCGTTTCAAAAAATTTATGGAAATTTTAAATGCGACTGATGATGGGGATGAGGAAACCACGACAGCCATGGAGGACACCTCACCTCACCTCTATGCTACCGTTCTTTCGTTTTGTAAGATGACTGGCATAATTGGGTCGATAAATAAATTCCTGGAAGTCAGAAGCATGTCACGGAGAGCGAGCGAGAGAGCGCGAGAACCAGAAAGACAGAGAGGCAGAGAGAGAAAGAGAAATAGAGAGAGAGAGAGAGAGAGAGAGAGAGCGACAGCGAGGGAGAGCGAGAGAGAGAGAGTTAAAGTGAGAGAGAGACAGGGTGGAGAAATGGAGTGTGGGAGAGAGGAAATGAGCGAGAGCGAGAGCGAGAGAATGAAAGGGAGAGATAGAGCGTGAGAGTGAGAAACCGAGTCAAAGATTTGACCTGCCGAGAATCAGAATTTTAAGAAACCCGCTATTCAGACCGGGACCTACTTCCATCCCCAACATACCACCAAAAAACACGCGAAAACTCGCAATAATTGACTGAGGCAGAGATTGCCCCCGGGGATAATCCCGCACCGCAATTGAGCTGTGTTTTTGTCCCTCCCCTCCTCCCGAGTCGAACGCCTTGGCCCCCGGCGCGCGCGCGTTCTCTTTGTGCCGCGCCGGGGCAATTGACACGGATTTTTGCGCGCCCCGGAGTAGAGCCACACCACTTCCAAAAAGTCAAATCGACCATCGAGTCCAGGGCAGTCCAGGGCTCATGGGTCGTGGCTCGTGCCCCTACTACTACTACCTTTCCCTACCCCTCCTGGTCGATTTTACAGCCCATCAAGTTTTGGCCTCGATTTGGACAAGGAATTCCTAGCGCGCGCGGCGACGTGAAAAAGGGGGGGCTGTAGGGCCTTGCCTTTTACGCGCGGGGAATGACCCTGAAAAAAGTGGCCGGGGCTTGTGGGTTTTTGTATAGTAGGCAGGAAGTTCTGGCGGTTTTAGGGCTTGGCTATTTTTGATGCGTAATCAGAGCCATATGCAGCATAAAATTTAGTCCCTATTTTTCCACCTTCGATCAGTGTTATCCGGTATGAAAGGTGTTATGCTGATAGATCATCGCCTGAACTCCATGCACTAAATACGGTTCTTGCGCTCTAGTCAAGACCTGAACCCCTTGAAGCCATGCACTTGACGCAGCTGAACAAAGGGTTGAAGATGGCTTGAAGAAATCAAAGAATAATTGATGGTAATAGCGGATTCTTCTTCCTTTCTTTTCAAACGAATGTCGGCGTACTTCGACTTTGAAACCTACTGAGCCGAAGCCTATCAGGAACCTAGGCACAAGTCTAAGCTCAAGCCTAGGCCTAAGCATACGTTGAAGCTTAATCCTAAACATAAGTACATTCCTAAGCACAAGCCTAATCTCTTCTCGGACCTTAATTTCCGTTCGTCACCCTTTCCTAGCAAAGGTGACTTGTATTGCGGGAGCGGCAATGGGCGGAGCCTTGCGTAGTGTTGAGGGGATAGGGCTAGGCAGTAACCAGGGGAGGAGGAGGATCTCTTCCTCCTCACCCCTTCCCAGTATGGTTGTATTCGAGAGTTCGCCGCTCCAAATGCCCTCGGATCATCCCAAATTACCCTACAATGACCACTTCCCCCCTGGAGATCCCATTTTACCGCCCGATCGGGTGGAGTATCTGCGAAAATCCTCGAATTTTTGGAACGGTTTTTGAGGGTTGAGTCTAGTTCCGTTAGGTAATTAGGTCTTTCTGAGGTATCTCGGTGTAGGATTGGGCTAAGACTTGCTTTTAACCTACCCCTCGCCCCAATGACAGTCCCAACACTGTCCAGCTGTCGATCGGCTCCTTTTTGGGGATCTCTTCACCGGGCCCAGGGGGCAATAAGCAGCACCGGTATGTGTGTGTCGGTGTCCCCACGTGCGTGCCCGAATGACCCACGAATTATCCACCACCCTAGCACGTAAGAAAGACCATCAGGTGGCCCCTAGTCTCTGGGGTACACGCCTGCACACAACACATTTTTTTTTCCATGCCTTCACTTTTCAAAATCGCTTTTGGAAAATGGCTTGAACGTTAAATCCGGGCAGGATTTTGCTGCATGTTTCCATTCTCTGTATCAGACTTTTCTCTCTCATCCTCTTTCTCTTCTCGCTCTCACTCAATCGCGCGCTCTCTCTTTCTCTCATTCTCTCTCTCTGTCGCGCTCTCTCTCTCTGTCTCTCTCTGTCTTCCGTTCTCTCTCCCGCTCTCTCTCACTGTCTTGATTCTTTTGACACTCTCATTCTCTATCTGACGCTATCTTCCTTGATCCAACTCAATAGCGGCCCTGCCGTCTAAAACATTGAATTTACGTCAAAGTCCGCAATTTTTGCACGCAAATTTTGAGGGCAGCAAGTTTGATTTTTTGGTCGATTCAAAAAATTCGGATGCCCTTGGGATGACTTTCTAGCTTACGAGGTCATAAAGAAATTCTCCGCAGTTTGGCGGAAATGTATTTCTATTTTTGTCGCCAATGAGCTTGAAGTGATAGTGAAATTCAATTCCCAAATTTACTCACCCATAACGCATCCCAACCAATCACCCCTCAACCGACTCCCCAATCAGCTGAAAAAACATTACGGGCCGCGCGGCAACCGGGAGGAATGGGCTGTTCGTCTTGTTTTCCCCTAACCGAGGGGGATATCTCTCGATTTCACGGATTTGCCGTGCCAATCTTCATCATCTACCGTGCAATCACATGCCGAGTACGGCCATTAACCCCGGAATCGCATTGCTGGCTGTTCTCAATTTGTTTTTGAGCGGATTAGCTGATGGGTTTTTCATCCGTTCAGTGGAGTGGATATGGTTAGAAATAAGTTTTCTTTCAGACGAATGCAAGCATGATAAAATTTATATGCTTTCATTTACCCTCCCGTTACACTATATTTTTGCTAGAAAGGGATTTGTCTGCTTGGAACGGCAATTTCGATCCTAAAACAAGTTTCCCACTTGCGGTTCCGGTTCCGAAATACGTTTGCTAATCCGGAAATTCCGTTTCTATTTTCGTTGCATGTTTGGAAAATGTTTTTTTCTAGCCTAGATCTTAAATTTAGTAATTTGCAATTTTTTGGGAAATTTTTTGGCATCAAAAAATAATTTTGGAAGAATTAGAGCTCTACGTAATGTTCTCGAGGGATTGCCTTATTAGGGAGGGCCCTACTAAACGCCAAATTTTTTTGTTATTCAGGGTCTGTTTGTTTTCTCACGTCTTTTCCCGATTTTTGTATGATATTTTTAGCCTAAACATTACTGTACAAGTTTTACTTCTTTTTTGCTTTCAGGGCCCAAACCACCGCTTTTCCACCGTAGCGGCCAACACAGACGAGGGAGGCGCAGCGAAATGGCATCATTACGCAGTTTTACATCGCTAACGGTATGTTCAAGACCGGAAAAAATTTAACAACCGCTCAACTGGTTTCGCGCAAAATTCCTGTGCTTGTTTTTACGCGCCGAAAAGTGCCCGGGCGCGTAGCGCGGCCGTAAACCGGGGCGGCGCTCAAGTGGTCGTAGAAATGTTTTTTGTTTGGGGCAAGGAATTTTGTGGAATTTAGGAGGGCCTGATTACTCATTTTGTAGAGAAAGGAGTGAATACCGAATTTCGAAAGTCTTAGCAAATTATAAGGCGCTGAGTTTTGAACTCTAGGGATAGCTCAAATATGAAAAAATTTTTAGGTGATTTTGCGATTTCGGCATAATCTAGGTCATTTTCTATTCAATGTAATGGATATTTTGATTAAACCTTTTTATTTCCTAAATTTTCCAAGGAATTAAACAATGGTTTAAGCCTTATAAAATTGGTATTAATTTTTAAAGATTTTTCGGTTTCGAAACCTGATAGTACGAATTGCAACCCCTACACCTACTTTTTGCACTACTTCCCTGACCATGAGTCAGCCATAAATTTGCTCTCCTCGAGGTCACCCCCGATCTGGGCTTTCTACATGCAAATAATTCACTGTTACACCCCCATATATCCAATCCCAAAGTCAAAAACTTGTGCTCGGCGCCCGCGAAGGACATGGGACCTTCACAGACCCAAATCCGTGAATATTTTGACCTTCAGCCGGTCAAGGGCCGCTCGGCAGCCGATGTCGGTCTGAATTTGAATAAATATTGGAGTGACGAGCGGGGGTGGTAGGAATTTGTATAAGGATGTAGATGAGCGAGCTAGAGAGAGAGAGAGAGGGAGATAGCGAGAGAGTGAGAGAGGCGGAGAGAGAGGGAGGCGAGAGGGAACAAAGAGAAGGGGCGAAACCGAGTGAATGAGAGAGAGCGGGACTTCAAGAATAAAGACGTATTTTTCAGATCCTCCCCTTCCTGTGTCTGACACTGACGACGGCAGATCTAATCGATAATGGCCTAAAACGTAAGTTATACTTCGAATTTTAAATCCTCGCATTTTTTGGTACTCCAGGGTTACTGGAATTCAGCTCTTGGTCCTCATAAGTTTTTAAAAGCCCATTTTAATCGAAAATATCTTCCCATTCCCCTCCCGACAGCTAGACGCCCAGACTACACAAGAAAACTCACTAGGAAAGTTATACTTTTCGCTTTCGTTCGTTTCCCTGACCATCCAATTAACGGTATCCCAGGCAAGCCAAGGCAATGTGACCCCGTTGGGCAATACCTTTATGAATTTCCATTATGAATAGGCCTTCTCGCTTTTGGGAGGGAAGAGGGGGACTCTAGTCCATTAGACAACAAAGAACGGTCATGGCAGGGCGGGGAGAGAGTTTCTTGGGGGCGAGAGAGAGGGAAAGAGTGAGGGAGAGAGAGAGAGAGAGAGAGAGAGAGAGAGAGAGAGAGAGAGCAAAGGTGAGATCGATAATTATACGGTACAACCCTAGGTAGCTGGCAGAATGCCTTTGGGGGATGAAAAACCGAGCACCTTTTGTACGCACTTGACCCTATGGGGTGTGAGGCGTGGAAAGTAGCTTTTTTGGGTTCAGCAAAAATAGGAATAGCTATAGATCGAAAAACTAAAATTGGATTTTGTGGTATTTGGGCTCAAACTACAGTAATTTGGGTGTGAAAGTATCGTAATTGGTTATCGTAAATCTTTAATTTAACAGTTTGTAGCCTAATTTTCCAAAATCGTTTTTTGTGGTTTTTAGCGTTAAATTCTACAGGCTTCGCCAAGGAATACCGCATATTTAAAATCTACTTCCTTCATTTTAGTTTTGCTAATATACCTCATATTTTGAAATTTATACCCCTTAAGGATTTTTTCCATTTTTGGAAATTATTCGAAACCTGAAAGGGCCATCCCGTTCCGAATTACAATACCCCGAATCGTAAACCAGTGGCGGTCATTCAATTCCATAGCTTCGGCGGCTTCATTTGCATACGCGCGCCGCTCGAGAGCACAATGGGCTGAAAGTGCTTATACGCCCCCAGGAGGGCATATTGTGTCCAGCTCACACACCACTGCCCTACATATCGATGGATTGGTAGGGAGCCGTTGGCTGTCCCGAATGAATGAGAATATACATTCCACAGCAACAATATAACCATTCGGGAACAGATCCCGCTCTCTCTCTCTCTCTCTCTCTCTCTCTCTCTCTCGCCTTTGGAATTGTACAACCAAGCGGGAGGGAAGGGGGAAAGTTATCCGGGTCGAGGCCAATTTCACTGGTCTGGTGAAAGATGGAACTGTAGTACAATTTTTGGATAGGAGTGAAAGCGAACGAGTAATTGGGGAAGGTCAAGTGGGAAACTTAAATCTAGGGGCCAAGAGCAAAATTTAAATCCTCAAGAATCTCTGCTAGGTTGCCATTTTAGGGTCGCTGCTCGTTGACTATCCGCCCAGAATTTTCTCTAGGTTGCCTCATTCTAAGAATCTCTGCCAGCATGCCTTTTTCTAAACCAGAACCGTGCTCTAGGAAATTGCTAAAAAGATCAAAATTTCTTGGCTCGTATAAACCGCAAGAAATGAAATTTTCTAAAGGTTGCCAGAAACTGTGACAGTTTTGAAATAAAAATCATGAATTTTAGGCTCAATAGAACTTTTTAAAGTTTCCCGTCCCCTCAAAACTTGATCCCGGACACGATTCCAACTCGCCAAAAATTTTCTATCTCTTCCGCATCTCTAACCCGACCCTCCACATCGCATTTCTAATCCAATTTCGCAGCGGGTGCACACCGGAAAAATGGAGTAAAAGAAAGGAAGACCAAAATTGGAAACAACGCCTTGTTTTTGGGGCCGAGTAATTGAATTTCAATAGGATACAGGATCAAAAATAATCGGGCATTCACGAAGAACGAAAAGAAACGAATACAAAAAATATGTTAGTCGAAAACCAGGCGCCTTTGAAGCTTGTTTATTTAACAAAAATTCGGGATTTCAGCAAATTTGCGTATTGGGGACCCAAATATAAGCTTTTTTAGAAGATCCAATCGTCGAATGCAGCCAAGATGGGGTCAACGTCAGGTTTCTTACCCAAAAGGAATTTGAAGGGCATGTCTACGTTAAGGTATAGTCGGTAATTCATTCCGAAATTCAAAAATAGGGCCATTACGACGATCAAGCATGCAGAAAAGACGCCACACTCGAGGATAGCGTCAATTTTACCGTACCCTACTCCAGCTGTGATGTTAGGAGGCAACGATCGGTGAGTTTTCCGGCTAAACACGTATTAAACTTGCCAAATTACGCAATGAAATCTGGAGCTAGCCGAAAACAGAAAAATAACGGATTCTGGTTTGTTGACGCTATGCAAAAACCTTGTCGATTTTCTAAATCTGTCAACGCAATTCCCTAGCCCATTAACAATCGAAACCGGGGCAAACTGGCCGTCATGGTTTGCAAATTAGGCCAAGTGTCCGGAGAAGATCGTTTCTAACAATCCGACTATGGCCATTCCGGCACATTACCGCTCGGACAAAGCCCGCCGATTCTCGACCCCATAACTCATCGTGTGGCGAATTAGCCAACGACCACTGCACACCACCGTCCTTTCCGCCAGTAGTATGGTCGCGGAAAAAAGTGGCGATTGGCCCAAATGCGAGGGTTGAGTCGATTAAAGGTGTATACATATTAAAAGGGCTCAGAGGAGACTCCTCGTTGATGAAGAAAAATTGCTTACTGCTTTATTTTCAGAGTCAACCACGTGGTCTGTTCCTTTCGGTGACGATCATCATCTCCTTCCACCCGGTATGCAAATTTTGGGTTAGGCCAAACCCCGATTAAGCCTAGGCCTAAGCAAGTTTAAGCCAAAATTTTCTAGATGTTCGTCACAAAAGTCGACCGCTCCTACAACGTCCAGTGCTTTTACACGGAAGTGGAAAAGACGGTTTCCCAGCAGCTCGATGTCGGGTCGGTCTTTCACAATTTTTTTGACCCTCCAAAAACCCACACCCGAGCGATCAACGCCTGTTCCACGCTTGGTTTTTCAATTTTTGGGTGTCCGTGCACTGACATGGAAATTAACGGCCCTTTGTCGTCGCCGGGCGGGGCTTTCGGAAAAACCGAGCCGGAGTTGTCCTTTTTCAGAAGGGATTTAGAGTCGGGATGCCGGTGAGGGTGGAGGGGGGTGAAAGAACGCAGATCATATCGCGGCAGAAAATTGAACGGGCTGAACCAACAGGAAAGGAGGGATTCGAAAAAAGCCACCTAAAGTCGATTAAAAATCCGGAAAATCAGGCTAGAATCAAAAGAGATCGAGAGTAAGGGAAGACAGAGCGAGAGTGCGAGAGAGAGGGAGAGAGAGAAGGAGAGAGCGTGAGAGTGGAGAGAGAAAAGAGAGAGAGAGAGAGAGAGAGAGAAAGAGAGAGAGAGAGAAATAGCAAGGTCCACCGTTTCGTAGCTTACTCTATTCCAAGACCTCTTTCAGCATGAGCCCCGAGCAGTTGAAGAACATCCAGGGCGACGATCCAGCGGCAGCCGGAGGTCTTGCCCGCCGACCCGCCAACGGCCAAAATCAATTTGGACTAGATGAGTAGGTTTTCTTGATCCGTTTCCAGTTGAGCCACCTGGTATCGAAATCCTGGAATCGCGTGCGATCAGATAACTCATTCCATGCCGGATCCAAGTGCCAAAAATGGACCGGCTGGCACATGACTCTCTCGAGATTGGAGGCACTAGAAAAACTCATCAATCCGGGAACTGTCGGAGCTGTCGGGTCGGGGGAATGCGCTGGTTTGGAAAAGTTATTGTTAGAGGGAAATTTGATTTACTGTTACGAACTGATTATTATAAAATCTAATAAATTAATCAAAGTTATGGATTATGGCCAAAAACCAACGAAAATGGGTGAAATTGAGAGAAGAGAGAAAGAGAGAGAGAGAGAGAGAGAGAGAGAGAGAGAGAGAGAGAAAGCGAGAGAGGAAGCGAGAGAGGCGGCGTAGAGCAAACTAAAGAAAGGGAGCAAAAGCTAAAGAAAGCGAAAGCGAGGAGAGAAACGGCGGCAAAGCGAGAGAGTGAGAGCGAGAGAGAGAGACGGTGCAGATAAAATTTCTCATAATTATAGTGCGTTTTTTTCAGTGGAGTTCCCGAAGAAACGATCACTTCAACCTTCCAGCTCCCAACCTGCCGCTACGAAGTACAACTGCTTAAATTTTATCACCCGGTTCTTTCTCCCTAGGTCCTCACCGAAACCGACAAGGGCGAGCCGGTCAAATTCGCGACGGTCGGCCAACATGTCTACCACCGATGGAGCTGCGAGGATCCGGCCCATCCAGAAGCCGGTTGGTGTTGGCCACTCGAGGTGTTCCACCCGTTTTTCGTGACGGAATCGGGTCGTTTTCCGGAATTAGATGTCTCTCGTAGCTCGGGCAGCCGGGGCCGGATCGGGAATCCCCCTTGAAAAGTCGAAACCGCGCAAAGTGGGCACTTATCGAGGGGGTGGAGGGGCAAGAGTGCGGCTTTTAGCACATTTTTGAGGTGAATAAGCGGTGCGTTTTTTGAGGAATTTGATGGGACGGAAGTCAAAAGTCTGGGAAATAAAACAATCAGGAAATTATGGAATTTTTGGGACTTCAAATGCATGAGATGTTCAATTTCAGAATCTCCCTTTTGCGCCACCGTACACTCATGTAATGTGCGGGAGGAGAGCGGAAAACAGGCGATGTTGCTCGATGAAAATGGATGCTCTGTGGACAAGTAAGTGGCAGATGATAACGCAACAAAAATAGAAAAAGACAGTTACCTATCTATCTAAATTAGTTTCTAGATTAATTTCCGTGTTTTCCAATCACAGGAAGTGGCAAAGTTCTCCCCTTGATCGGTTTTTTAATGGCAACACGCAATTAGGCAAAATATTGCTAAAAGCTGCAACCAGCTTTGATGCCGGTCTTCCGCAAAAACAACCAAAGAAACTAGTCTGCCTTGTCGAAAACGTAGAGCCCCTTTGGCAAACAAACACAGTTGGTTCCGAACTTTGTCGGCAATGCGGCTAGGGCAAGGTCGGTCCCAGACGCCTGTTTTGGCGAGCGCAAAATTTTAGCCAAAGTGTATGCGAATCCTTTATGGTAAATTTGGGCAGGGTAAACAGCGTGATCTTCAGATACCTACTAACCAACCTGGTCTACACCTCGGCCCTCACCGGTGGGCAGAGCTCGTTTGTGTTCAAATTTGCTGACCAACCATCCCTGTATTTCCAATGTCAAATAAGGCTATCACTCAAGGAGGATGGGGCTTGTCATCGTTTTACAATTTTAGCCATTGAAAAAAGAAATCCTCGACTGCAAAACAGCTTAAAAAAAGCACGCCTAAAAAGCACGCGCCACCAATTTTTCTGAGAGAACCTCCGACGCCTGCCCGAATACGTTGAGAGGGAAGCGTTCCGCCCAAAATGTGACTGTCATCCAGCCGCGAGGCCCGGATGTTGATGTATTTTCGCAGAGCATGACCGTGTTTGAGGTTGACGAGGATGCCGGTATTGCGTTAGGTTCACGAGCCATCTACCGTTCTAATAGATAATCCAACAACAAGGTCGCCCAGTCGTTGGCCGAGCAGTGGGAAGGAGGGGTCGAAATTTGCATGTCGCAGTGGAGGTAACGATTTGTCAATTATGCTTGAGAGAGAGCGAGAGAGAGGGAGAGAGAGAGAGAGAGAGAGAGAGAGAGAGGAGAGGTAAGAGAGAGAGAGAGAGAGAGAGAGAGAGAAAGAAGCGGAAAGAAACAGTGTTTCCCTTAATTTACAAACGATTTTAGTTTCAACCTTCTCATCTCCGTAATGGCCACAATCGGCCCGACAACACTATTAACGCTAGCTCTACTGTGTCGAAAACTTACGGCCAAAGTCAGCTTCCTAAAGCGGTAAATCCAACTATCTTCCCCTTCAAATTTCCAAATGCTTGCTTAAACTTTTCTCGCCATGGGTATCGCACATTCCATTTTGTTCTAACGCTCGCATTCCACTGTGTTAATTTGCTTTGACATTTCGTGTTGACTTTGCATCCATTGCTCACCTTGCCCATCCCATCAAAAACATTCGAAACCACTTTTAGGAAAATTTTTATATTCCGTTTTTTCCTTTGTGCTTTTCAGGGAACGTGTCCGTTGAATTTGTTTTGCCCTTCACGTATGTGTTTTCCGAAAATGTTTGTCCCTCCTGAGCGTTTGATCAGATTTGTGTGCATAAATTGTATGAAGCTTTTCACACCAGGGTTTGGGTTACGACATAGAAGAGAGAGAGAGAGAGAGAGAGAGAGAGGGGCTCAGGCTATTTTTCGTGCCCTGAAAAGCGACAATGTTTTGAGCAGATCTCTGAACTGATATGCAAATCAAGGCTCTAGAGTTCGATATATACGGTGGAGAATCAAGACAGACTCAAAGTGAACTTGAAACATGAAGTGGCTCGTTAATCTGTGCTGCCCTGCTCTCTATTGCGTTTTCCATTGTCCATCTCGAATATCGGCTGATGAATTGGATACGCCGAGTCGTAAGTTTTACTACAAATTCTCAATCTGTTAAATATAGCTGTAATAGGATAAAAAAAGCAGGCTTGGCGTTAACAATTTTTTTAAGTTGAGCTCATCCGCATCCTATCGTCACACTGACGATGCTCGACATCACCAACAAGTCACGATTTTGCAAATACCGATCTAGATAACCCTTGTCTATAATGTACAGTTATTGCGAAACCTCTATAAACCTTTACTTAATTCTTTAGCATCTCATAGGAAGTTTAAACAAGCCCGAGGAATTTTGCCAAAGAAGCATTCAAAGTGGTCACTGAAAACACGCGAGGGTGTATGAGATAACACGTATGGATTTTGCTATACATTTTTAGCGTTTCTTTGTATACGGATTTTAAGGTATACAACAGGGGGTATGGCTTTCAAAAATAGTGGGAAGCTCCAAAAATCTTAGGCACGACCGGCTGGGAGGAAAAAAAACAGAGGCATCGCGCGCGTTCTTTGTCTGTTCTCCATCCCATCCCCACTAGGCCCCCCCCTGGCCCACCCTCTCTCTATATCTCCTCTCCCCTCCACATCCAATTCGAAATCATACTTCATAGGATCATTTCTATAGTATGCACCAGTCAAAAAAAGCCGCTTCGCGGCTTTTTTTGCCTGAACCGGGCGGAGGGCAAGGCAATACAGGGGTGCTTCCCACTTCTCTTTAGTATATTCCCGCTTGGCGCGGAGACCTTCCGTGATCTACCTATGCACCTCCTCCAAAACCAAAGAACCTTCCACTCCTCCTATTCCCCCTGAAAGAAACCCCCCAACCCCTGAAAGAAACCCCAACACCCGTAGCTGATCCTAAACAAAAAGAGAGAGGGAACTAATGGTTAACCCCCCCCCCAGAAGGAAAGCTATAACCTTCTTTAGGAATAAAAAAAACATAGAAGACCCTTGAAACAAAGTTGTACCCTTCTTCGAGACTAAAAAAACATCTAAGAGACGCGTAATGGCTAGAATGCCCTTGAAAGAAAGTTAATTCCTCTTCTTAGCTACTAAAAAAACAATCTAGAGAAACGCGTAATGGCTAGAATACCCTTGAAAGAAAGTTATTTCCCCTTCTTCGAGACTATAAAAAACATCTAAGAAACGCGTAATGGCTAGAATACCCTTGAAAGAAAGTTATTTCCCCTTTCTTAGCTGCTAAGAAAACATCCTAAGAAACGTGTAATGGCTAGAAGACCATTCAAACAAGTTGTTTCCCCTTCTTAGCTACTAAAAAAGCATCTAAGAACAACGTAATGGAACTAGAATACCCTTCAAGAAAGTTATTTCCCGCTTCTTAGCTTCTAAAAAAAACATCTAAGAAAAGCGTAATGGCTAGAAGGCCCTTCAAAAGAGAGTTATTTCCCCTTCTTAGGTACTAAAAAACATCCTAAGAAACGCGTAATGGCTAGGAATATCCGCCTTGAAAGAAAGTTATTTCCCAGCCTTCTTAGCTGCTAAAAAAAAACATCTAAGAAACGCGTAATGAAGGGCACAGGGGAAGACCCTTGAAAGTTGAAAAGGTGCTTCCCCTTCTTCGAGACTAAGAAAACATCTAAGAAACGACGATAATGGCTAGAATACCCCTTGAAAGAAAGTTATTTCCCCTTCTTAGCTACTAAAAAAACATCTAAGAAACGCGTAATGGCTAGAATACCCTTGAAGAGAAGTTATACCCTCTTCGAGAAACTAAAAAAGACATCTAAGAGACGCGTAATGGCTATAATACCATTGAAAGAAAGTTATTCACCCTTCTTTAATACTAAAAAAAAAAAAAAAATAACGTAATGGCTAGAATACCCTTTAAAACAAGTCCTAACCTTCTTTAATACTAAAAAAGCAATAAAAACCGTTGGGAAACAATTACTCTTTTGTTTGGGGATTTCTGCTACCATTAATGCGCGAACGGCCCCTGTGACCTCTGACCCTCCCCCTTTCCCGGGACATGCCACTGGGGCACGTTGACCTGGGGGGATGGGGGAGGCGAATAGCCTGGGGGCATGGGGGTCCTTGCAGCGATCCGTACGGACGGTCGGTCGGCACGGACATTAGCAATTTATATATAAGTGATTTCACTATACCCACTAAATTGCGACACCTCCGACTTTCCACCGATGATTGGATCTGAGGGCGAGTGGAGAGCGGGAAGAACGGTTTGCCCCCGTTTTTCGGTGGCACTCCGTTGAGGACCGCGTTCATTTCCGGAAACGGATTCGGACAACCCGCCGCACTCCCTGAAAGGGAAAGAGGTGCGCAAAAGTAATTTGGTCTTGGCAGAGGAGCCAAAAAAAAGCGGAAAATCACGGATGTGGTTGTAGATATTTCCGAACCCTCCACAAAAGCTCAAAAGCCACTCCAGAAGACTCGAGGGGTCAGAAGGCTTATTCAATGTGCAAAAAATTTCAACAACAAAATATACAAATTTCAAATAACAAAAAATTTTACCCTAACCGCCTAAACAGCACGTCATCCACCCCCCCAAAAAAGCCACAAATAAATTCAGCTTCGGCCTATGAGCAAAGTAACGCCAGCGAAGCAGTGCGCCAAATATCACCAGCAGCATCAAAACTTGCTCGCCCACTCGTGAGTCATGGTTGTGTGTGGGCATGGCTGGACAAGCTGTGTTCACCCCCTAAATATGCAAAAACTTTAGTTGAACAGTTCTGGTAACATCAGCAGCTAGTTTTGGGTATATAAGGTTTTGAAAGCGGGGTGGAATGCATCAGTTCTTCGGATTCTGACATATACAACGATGGGAAGTGCTTCATTCTCATCGCCCTCTTCGTTTTGGCTGTTGCCGCTACCAGGTGAGAGCTGGTTTGAAAATCGCTTGAAGCGGGGTTTCGAAAAGAGGGTGGCTGTCAGGGATCACTAGGGGAATACGAGAGGAATACAGATGTTTAAAGGCAATAGCAGGACAAGCCAGCTTTATAGCACTGACAGCTAACGAAATTTTTTAGGCTAGGATTTAGAATTACTAGCGAATATGCTCTAGGTTTAGAAATATGCTGAAGCGCGCAAACGAGCAGAGATTCTTTAGGTATTTTAAATTTCTAGTGGATTCTCGAGCCATTTTTGGAATTAATACGTTCAAGACAGAAAAATATTTTAGAACTTCGAATCTAACCAGATTTTAGCTCATCTGCACGATCCTGAGCGCTCAGGCCAAATCGCGGTGCCAGCACCCAGAAGCCCCAGGCCATAGTAAGACTATATTTTCCGGATCCGGACCCCCATGGTGAGAAACGGACAAAACAGTCAAAACGGATTTGGAAGTCAGTGTTCTGAAGTTGCCTGTTTTATTTTGTTTCAGTTGATGAAACCGGAGGCTTCAGGTACTTACAGCCAGAACGGGCGTAATGGTGAAAGTGAGCATTTTTACAAAAATTCTCGAATTTTGAATCTGCCCATTTGATTTATTTAGATGGCGCCACCGGTGGCTTTTTCATAACTTCACAGCCAGAATGGCGGCCGCGACGGCGAGGATACGTTTTAGCACTCAGAATTCATTAAAAAAAGCCCCTGAAAATTGAGAATCCGGTACGATCAGACGTTTTTAAGACGGCGTGACTGGAGGGATTCCGTCTGCACAGCCCCCTTGTCGACACAATAATTGGATTCAGGAGTCAGTATTGCATTTTTTATAAATTTCCTGACTTCGAACCCTGGCACTGTAAGCTGCAAAAAAATACCGACAGTCCTGCCAGCTTTCAAAACACCATTTAGGCCGCGCCACCCGTGGAATCGGACAATACGGACAGCACGGACACAACGGTAATTTTTAATTATCTTAGCTATTGCTTTTATATTTTTAAAATATTCAGTGCTCCCAAATCTATTTATTAGGCGCCTCCCACCCAAGTTTCTCCCGGAACAAAAAACAGTTAGTCGATTTCCCGAATTGTTATTTCCAATCCCATCCTTTCAATAGCGTTTTCCTTTTCAGGCTTCAAGAACATGCCCTTCCTAAGCATTTAAATAGACCCGCCTGCATCCCGTATTGTAACGAATGTCTTGCTAATAAACGATTTTATTCGCAGCTTGCCACTTGACACTTCACAACAGGTTTATGGTTGACGTGGCTCGCCGACCGAGCATTTGAAATGTGCCACGCCGGTTTCTATGCTCCTCGGGCTGTAAAAATTACATTGTACTACAGGAACATGTGCTAATCCGGAACGTCTTTTAGAACCACGTAGTTTCAAAAGGACATTTGGCTTTTTCTTGGCCCAAGAAACTTTACGCTATCCGGTTTGTAAGTGTGAAAAACAGACCGCATT